AGTGAGGGTGATGTTGCACGAGTTTGGTCAACATCTGTATATCATCTTTTATCTGCTTATGTAGCACCACACTGCACTTAATTACTGCGGTGAAATCGTCAATTCTACTGGTGACGAAATCTTTATGATCGAACAGTCGGAGTCAGCGAACAATCGAGCACCAAACAAACGACACAGTTGTGGATTCCTTTGAAGCCAACCGATCTCAAGTAGGTGTATTGATATTTCTCGTAGAATAATCATCTTTTACTTGTGAATCATCCACCAGCTTGATGTCGAGACAATCACCTCAAATGATCAGAAAGCACTGCCCTGTTTGATTACAGCACGGAGGAACCGGGCAACTTTCGGTCATCGAGCTGATCCACCCACTGGAACTGCACTGCTCCTAATTCTCCAACCTCGGAAATTTTCGTTGTCAGCACGTCACTTAGCGTCCGCCCTCATGTCAGCGGCGAACCCGGATCGACCATATCGTTATAATCCAAAGATAGTGAGGTTGCATACAAGACTGCCGATCGTATTGGAGCACCACCACCCCACCCAGCCCCTCGGGTCCGATCACATGGTAACTTGCGCTAAGCTGTCCGTGGACTTTAGTGGGCGTTCCAAAGGCACGACAAAGCGACCGTTAGACTGCGACTGACTGTTTCAACCAGCCTGTTAAGCGATAACTGAAAAGCTAGAATCGAAGGGATGTCACCGCGGTTCGTAATGTTTGCCTTACGGTTGTGAGACCTGGTCTCTCCACACTGAGAATGTTAATCAACTTCATGTCATCGTCATCATTGTACAGTTAATTACATTTAAGTGAACTACACCGATCACTGCCAAACTCGTATAGCTTAAAAAGTTAGTGAGAGTAGGTAAGGTGATGGGGTCTATTTCAGGAGAGAGAGAAAACAGCGAATCTCCATAACCACCACACAGAGTACACACACAAGCATTCTGACCTCATAAGAAGTGACAACAAGAACGCTACTGGTTTCGGTTCGTTGTCATTTCCTTTATTATCTACAACCAATCAGTGAATCTTTTGAACCTCAATCTGAAAGACAAGAGACACCTACTATATTACATACTACTTATTATGAAAGAGACACCTACTATACCTAATTACTCCGTGCACTTCTGTGTGCCTCGTCTTCACGTCATCTGTTGATCCCCATGTGGTTCTCTCCAGCCTGAAACGGTTAGAGTGAATAAGGTGCGGTGGGGTCAACGACAACTGGGCATGCGCAATCCGAGTACTACCAGCGAAGCCTATTGACCTCAATTCGACGTGCTAGCTAATTCGCCCCCAATGAACACGACGGCTTACCTCCAGATTACTAACCCGTTCGCTCAATCCAACGTGAGCCAAACTGAGTTTCAATTTTACAACCAATAACCATGCATTTTCGTGCATCGGTTTTGGTTGCTGTCTTGCGGCCACCCATTTGGATAAAAGAGCAGATTGAAGATTGGAACGTTGAGAGCAAATTCAAGCCGGAAGACAGACAATTCATATAGACTGAGGTTGCAAGAATAATGAGTAGATGCGTGATCGCCACTGTTTGTGACACCCAGCCACACAATTCAGTGTATCTAACCATTGGTGACCATGATTTCGAGGTCCCTAATCAGGGAGCCAAACTACGTAAGCATCGACAGTTGGAAACTCTTGGCCAACGGAAATCTTCGACTCACGAGCTCAATGTTTCACAATCATAAAACAGAACCGGGGCGGTGGTGGCCTGGTGGTAACGTCACCAGATTACCACTTCGGAGGACGCGTGTTCAAACCCCACCACCACCGCCTGACTTTCCCCATGGCAGCCCTTTAATTGGCCGCTTCCCCCTTCCTGAAAATTGTATCATTCTGTATTCAATAAAAGGAAGTAAAATTTTTTTAATTAAAAAGAAAAGAAACCGAACGAAGCGTGGCACCATATACACGAATTATCAACTTCAGCCTGACGTCATGTCTACGGCAAAGGTGTTTCAGTCCTGCATTCGCTGTTCGAGTCTTGGAAACGTTGGCAGTTATCTCCTTGGCTGCGCTACCGTCATCGGTCACGAAACTAGCAAAGAAGGGGAAACAATCCATTATAACTACTTCATGAAGATTTAGTCTCAAAGGGAGACTAGTCCACAATCAGTCTTGTAGCAGCAATTTGCATTTTAAAGTTGCAAAACGCATACATAATGGTGTAACAGCATTTGTTAATCTATCAAAGTTGGCCTCGTGCGTCCTCCATACATTAGAATAGTCACACGACACCATCCGCGTAGTCCAAGCCGAAGAGCTTTTCTCCAGCTGCCCATTTAATGCTAACATCTCTGAGACCGCTCAGTACACACTTCAATATTTCGTCTACGACAGAATTGAATAGAAATGGCGAACTATGTTACCCTTGACGAACATTGCTACTGGTTCAAGATAGGACCTCACTTTTGTACTGGACTACCGATACCTTATAAGCCGTTCGCGCGTGCGGGGTAAGACCGGAAGAAAAGTCGGGGCGGTCTGATTACGGCCTGGAGTAGAAGTGTGAAGAGGATAGCGTCAGTACAGTCTTTGTTTAGTGCAACCAGTCTTCGAGGTTGGAACCAAAGGAATGAACATAGTCGTTGGTTAGACATGTTGGGAGATACGGTTCAGAACAAATGTCACCAGTGAAAATGTTCCACTGTGTTCCTTGAAATCCCGTGTTCCATCGGGGAAAAAGCATTAAACCGTGTACAGTGAAACGAAAACAACAAAAATTATTCTTTCTTTCTCGTTAATCTCAGCAATCTGCTTCCACTCGTTTTCGTTTCCCTTATTCGCCATTTCTATCATCATTTTAGAATTATCTTCCCGGTAGAAATTCGAACTATTTAGCCAACAAATTTACCCGGTGTTGCAAATGAGGCTACTGAGACGAAAATATATATCCTGAGTACAAGAATATGAATGAGGTGGCATAAGATTACCAGATACGAATGCCTGACAAGCACCAAGAACCGCGAAACGGGTCGAGTGCTATCCGGAAAATTTTGACGCGTCATTCATATATTACTCATTGTAAAACATATATCTCACTCTAAAAGAGACTAACCTGACTCCAACATTGAGCAACTCCAATAGATGATGTCCTCGAATCAATCCGACAAACACAATACTACCGATGATTAGTAATGAGATGAAAGACAACTGTTTGCCTAAACGATCCATATTTTTCTGCAGTGGGGTACGAGGTGCCTGTTGTGAAAAGAGAATAAATTTCATGAGAGGATTTAAGTTCACAAGAGCATGCGGATCTTCACAATGAGCAAAATTGACTATTACTTTTTACAACGGAAAAAGCGTATTCCAGACAAGTTCCCTCGATTGGTGAAAAGCAATTTCCTCATTGTATAGCGATTTCGAGTAACCACAAATGAAAAGGCCATTATTTTGTATTAGCCACTTATCAACGCGAACTAGTAGTATTCTCACTTTCCTATCCTCAAACTCTCGGCGTTTTGTAGAGTCCCCAAACAACACTAAATAGATCGCTTGTGAGCATATTCTCACGATAACCCACGGAATTCTATGGCAGTCATCTAGACGATAGAACGGGTGATGGTGGCTCAGTGGTTTAGTCGCTGTCACTAGCGTGCTTTGGACCTTATGGTTCTAGCCCCACCACAGCCACCCGACTTTGATGGCAGGCAGCTTTCCTATCGTACGGTTCAATACCACACCTAACCTAGCGGGGCCTTATGTGGTTCACCAGTCCAAGTCCCGTATCTTAGGTTGCCGGTTTCCATCACTGAACAGCAGGTCCTCGTGACTATGAGGTTTACTCGTCTGCTGCTCGTCACACAAAAGTGTGTAATAAAAAAAAATAGATGACTGTGAATAATCGACCATTCTATGCTATTTTATTGTGTCGCGGATGGGTTAATTTTCAAAACCGCTCTAACATCATTGATCAACATTAGCACGCACCGAATGTTTGTTTTTATATTAGACGTCAAAAATTCAATAGGCACCTTAATTTAGCGCAAGGATACACAGCAATCCAAGCCGTAGGGCTTGGAGTGTAAACAGATCATCGGAATCGGTATTCCAGTTGACGAAAGTCAACTTCCCTGTTACACAAAACAGTTTTTATAATAACGTCGATGTTGTGCAACAAGAGGATACATAGACGTTAAAAGCCCCAATCAGATATGGGTACAAAAAGTTAAAGATGAAACACCCCGAAGGTTTGAGTCGTGAAGTCCTTTGTCGTCACAAATAGGTGAGAGACCTAGTCTCATTATTTACATTGGGACTATACATTTTTACTCCCTTATCGTGAGTTCCATGAACCCCTAAACAGCGTTGATCCGTGAATTTTGCCGAACGAATTTTTTATTACACACATTTTTGTGTGATGTACAGCAGTCGAGGTGGATCCCATAGTTACGAAGACCTGCTATTCGGTGATGAAAACCAGTAACTTAAGCTTCGAGACTTTGAGTGGTGAACCACATAATGCGTGGTATTGAACCGGACGACAGCAAAGCTGCCTGGCCTGGACTACCTAAAAACTGTTAGGATCCATTTAAGATAGAATAGACAACTAAAGGGAGAAAGATAAGTGTGAATAACCCTTATTCCGCATGTAGGCGATTCTCGTTTGATTGCATAAAACATTGATTCACATTGATTGTGCCACGCTATAGTCAATAAAAACGAATTTATAAGTATAACAATTACGATATAGATAGTTCACTAGTGAAACCATACGAACCATGGGATCCTGCTTGATTCTGTTATTTATCGCTCTATCCGGTACAATCTGTTTCAATCAGATGAAGATGTGCACGAAGAGACAAGAAAATGAAATAAGTAAGTTGATGGATCAAGCGAGTAGGAACAATAGTTCAGTTGACCATCGCCACACAAGACAACTTCAGAGGACCTATCTAGCACATCATTTACCAACGTTCAATATCATTGCCTATGTAGTACTCTCAGCTTTGATCAAATCAGTTCCGTTCAATTAACTTCTAGACTGGCAGTAAGGTACTCTAACTGTGATTGATATAGGAAAGGTATGAACGCCACTGATGAGGAATGCAAATCTCTAGAATAATAATCGAACTTCTCTTTCTTCTTATGATCCCCAACAAAGATGAATTTAGGCACATATATAAACTGTTCCTTCATTTAGTTTGTTTGGCGTCTGCTACTGAAATGAATTAACATACATCATACTTTTATTGAACTGTCTCAACATTTCCCAATCTTCATTTTAGTAGCTATACTGCAAACATTAGACAAGTGAAGCACTCATTACTTATCACGATTCTCCTACTAAAAATCTACTATTTGAGCATAACAATTTGTTTGTCTGATGTGGATCCTTCCATTATCCGGCGCAAGTGTTCTGATGTTAACCCAGGTACCAGATGTGTTTAGTCAATGGAACCACTGGTTTCAAATTCTGAATACATACCTCAAAGACAACATACGTTCGCCCCGATAAACCAAAAACACGCGAATCTCGATGATGCACTTCTTTTAGATTACTTTTCGGAGTGAACAGATTGCCAAGCCGTAATCAAAACACTGCAAAAAATCCACCTTTGACCTAAAATCGTGGTATATGCCCGACTGGCAACCGATAAGTAAAAACACGGACAAGACGTCAATCTGGTCGTCCGAAAACTTAAATTTCTGGCAAAGGATGTTCATTTGAGACCGAGTACTACATTACAACATACGAATGAATCCATACACAAAGCATTTATTTCAGGATTACAGTCCTCAACCATACGCGAGAAGCTCCTCGCACATGAGTTCAGCTTTGATGAATTCTTGGCGTATCTCTAAAACCGATTCACAAACAAACAGCCGTGTATGTGAACAATAAACCACTACCTTGCTGTTTGACTCACAACAATCCAGTTGTACTCATTACATCTCCCGCCCCAGCTAACACATTCATCTTGACAGCTGCTGGACAAACATGAACTTTTTCGGCTACAAGGGAAGTCCCGGTCTCTCCTCTTCTGTACGAGACGCAATTGTAACACATGTGGCAAGTCAGGCAGTTCCCGGCGTCCCTGGAACATCGCGTCAATTTATCCTGTGCTAAACAACACATTCGTAGCCATGGCTTCGAACAGTCACCAACATTTTAGTTAACTGAATACCCATTCAAGCGCTGACTGACAGCTGCAGTTCCGCTGGTTACACTTCTCCCTCTGTCATATGCTCCATCAACTGGGAATCACATACCCACTGACAATAAGATAAAGACATCGTCTGTTCTGTCGCACCACAGGCTACTGTCTTGTGTCCATTCAATACAAACGTATGATACAATAACACTTTAAACTCATGAGATTATCAAATTGATGTGCCTACACATTACTTGGGCATGATGTACCTAGCCTCGACGACAAGATCGAGATCCTGTTTGATAGTCGGCGGG